AAACCAGATCAACCAGCAAAACTTCGGAGGTTTTCTTTCGTCAGGAAAGATAACCTTGCAGGTGAACGTGCCTGTGGAGGTGTAGGTCTTCTCACCTCACTCGACTATCCCTCAAGTTCCCTTCCTTTGACGACATCCCTCCAAGTTGTCGCTATACAAGTAAATTTTCATATTGTAGTTTCGTTTCTCTTTATTTGCCTCCTAATGAGCACATTGATCAGGAAGATTTAAATTGTCTTATAGAGCAGCTGCCTGAGCCTTTGATCATAATAGGAGATTTTAATGGCCATAGTCCGCTCTGGGGTAGTAAAGATACAAATTGCCGAGGAAGACAAATTGAGCGAATGATTGAAGATCATAGCCTTTGTCTCCTGAATAATGGGCAGGATACTTACTTCCATGAGCCTTCAAGGACATTCCACGCTCTCGACCTTGCCATCTGTTCACCATCTCTGTTGCCATTTTGCACTTTTAGTGTCGGAAATGATCTTTACAACAGCGATCATTATCCCATTTTTGTGTCTCTTGCACGAAGAGGAGCAAACCCCATGTCGAGACTCCCTCGGTTTATACTGGACAGGGCAGACTGGGAACTCTTCTCTTCCTCTGCAGAGCTCACAGAGAAAATGGTAGAAGATGTGCATATCGATGATGCTGTTGAAGCTGTTACTAATACTATTATTCAGGCAGCTATGCTTTCCATTCCTAGAACATCAGGAAAAATACTAAAATATACGAAACCATGGTGGAATCGCGACTGTCATGAAGCACTGAAAAAACAGAAAAAAGCATGGGGTAATTTTTCGTAGATATCCTACTCTGCGAAACCTCATAGCATTTAAAAGAGCCAAAGCAAATGCACGAAAAGTAAGAAGGCAGAGCCAAAGGAATTCTTGGATTTCATATGTGTCGTCAATAACATCCTCTACGCCTAGTAAGCGGGTTTGGGAAAGAGTTCGAAAAGCATGCGGAATATATAAAGACCACTCACTTTCCTTTTTGGAAAAAGATGGCCGAGTGATTAGCTCCATAGAAGAAATTGCAAATACTATTGGTGAGACATTTGCTGCCGTTTCTTCCAGCAGAAACTATTCACCTGCATTTCTCTCTATCAAGCAGCACTCTGAAATAAATCCCATCGCATTCAACTCTACCAAATCTGAGCCTTACAATACAGCATTTACTATGGTGGAATTAAAGAGAACTTTATTGCAGACACATAGGTCTTCTCCGGGTTTTGATGGCATAAATTACGAAATGCTAAAGCATCTGTCCTATAAGTCATTGAAAGCCCTTCTCACTCTTTACAATAGAGTGTGGCCCCTCAGTGGGCTCACTTTTGTGAGTACGGGTGTGGTAATCCCGAGGTACCCTAGCCCTTCAGGGGATCATCTTGATGAGACGGGTGTCACGATCCTGGAGCCCCAGTGATCTGTCCTCTTTTCCGTCTCCTCTCCTCTTCGCTGGAACTTTTTCCCTTCCCTTCTCCCTTGTGGTTTTTCTCTACGGAGTTTGGGGTTCGTCACGAGAGGCTGGAACAGATCTTGTTTCTAGTTTTCGAGTGGCGAGAAAACTGCCCACGTGTTTGCCGTGCGTGGAGACCCGTGTCGCTGGAAAGGAGGGTCCTGGTAGTTGAGGGGCGAGGTACTGTCCCCAACACACTACTTTGGCCTCTGCTTCAGCTAAACGGGAGGCACCTTAGTCGTCCTCACGGGTGTCAATCGGCTGGTCACTAGACCTTGTGTCAGTGGCTTGGGGTCAAACTCTCAAGAGTACCTGCTTTCGGGAAAGCCGACTGTGGGGCTTCAGTTTGCGTATAGGTCCGGCTAGCCCTAACACAGGAATATGTGTTCCCTTGTTGGGCTCCGTGGTGGGCGGGGCCGTCGGACACGAATCTTTATTCTTTCACTATGGCTTCTCATATCTACTTAATTAAAGATTTCGAGGTAACTCCAGTCACTCAAGTCACTCCAGTCACTCAATCCAGTTCTGAAACTTCTACTGCTAAACCATTCATTCAAACTATTTCTGAAAAGTCTACTGCAAAAAAATTACGTACAGATACAAATGAAAAAAATCATAACAATAGTCCCCGTTTCCTAGTCATCTCTAGTCCTTCTGGCGAAATCCATAAGATGTCTCCTTTCGTAATAAACAAATATATCCAGTCTCGTATTGGGGAGCCGAGAAATATAAAGCGTCTCCGATCCGAAGACTTGCTTATTGATACAACCTCAGCCACCCAGTCTGCTTCTTTACTTCAGATAACTAAACTTGGGCAAGCGAATGTCACTGTAACACCACATAAGTCACTGAACTATTGTCGTGGTGTAATCTCAGAATTCGACCTTCTGTATGTTTCTGAAGAAGAGATCGCTTCTGAGCTATCCGAACAAAATGTCTGCGGTGTAAGGCGGATCAAGGTGCGTAAAGAAGGTAAATTGATAGACACAAAACACGTGATCCTTACTTTCAACACGCCTGATCTGCCTAAGAATATTAAGGCCGGATATCTAAATATTCCTGTAAGACCTTATATTCCAAACCCTATGCAATGTTTCCAATGCCAGCGTTTCGGCCATTCTAAGACGTCTTGTCGTGGCAGCCTCACATGCGCCCGATGCTCACAGATTGGCCACGGTTCTGATAATTGTACCGCTGCGCCTTTGTGTGTAAATTGCAAGGAAGACCACCCAGCATTTATTCGCTTGTGCCCAAAATGGAAATCTGAAAAAGAAATCCAGACTACGAAAGTTACTAGGAACATCTCTTACGCCAAAGCGAGAAGATTTGTCCAGAGCACACAGCTTCGACCAAACACATCATACTCAGTGCTGTAAAATCATCTCGTACAGTCACCACCCAAACATCAATAGGCACACAGACCCTACCAAATAAAACCCATCTGTCTACATCCAACAAGAAAAAAGAAAATGCAACCCATATAGTACCAAAAAAAAAAAAAAAAAAAAAAGAAACAGTTATTCAAACTAAGCCCAAAACTGCCACACAAAAAATATCAAATAAAAATAGAAGTCACAGCAATAGTTCTCTTGATGAGATGATTACTGAATCTGCAGTTTCAGACTTTATGGAAGTAGAACAGGGTCTAGAAGTTCCCAGGCATCTACTTCCACGAAAAACAAAAGAACAGCACAGAAAAAACAAAAAACATTCATAATGGCCACACTCGTGTCATGGAACTGTCGCGGTTTCCACCGAAATTTACTTGACATCAAGTCTATAATAAATGTGTATCATCCTGTGTAAGTATTTTAATAGCTGCGACCTGCCTCTCGACCGTTTAATCGGAAGAGAGGTCAATACCAATTTGTTTGACTACCTGAAAGAAACAGGTTTCTATTATTTAATTTGATTTTTGTCTTGAGATTTTATGTTAGAATTTTAATGAATCAGATATTTTAAGATAATATATATATATTGCATATTTCATTATCTGGATCATAATCAACATTTTCATCCCAACATTTCACTATCTTTTTACTTGCCTCCATTTTAAAAGTGTGCTGTTGCTTTAGATTTTTTCTTTTATACTTTATATGCGAAATACGAATCCTGCGTTTGGCGCATATGGCCTATAGAGCTTTGCGCCATAAATCTACCACTACCACTACCACTATCTTCCATTCTATACAGATGGTTCAAAGTCAAAGATCATGTTGGAATGGCATTTGTAATTGAAGATCACATGGAGGGCAGACGCTTGAACCATGCTTTCTCTGTCTTAACATCCGAACTAACTGCGATATATTATAGTCTTTTGTACATCTCAAGGCTCTCTGCCACAAAAAGTTTATAGTTTATACAGACTCCTGTAGTAAAATCCTTGGAAGCTTTTTCCCATACTCAAAATCCAGTCATAGTGGATATTCTAAAGTTACATATAAACTTAACGAGTCGTTTGTATGATATCCTGTACTGCTGGGTTCCCGGGCATGTGGGAATAAAAGCGAATGGGCTGGCAGATATCACAGCGAAATGTGCTTTTGATCTGTCCAGTCGCCTCATCCCTTTTGGAGACATCTGTTGTGTAGTCAAAGAGAAGATTCGAAAAAAATGGCAGCAACTTTGGGATGTTCAGCTTCAAAACAAGTTAAGACATGTAAAGCATAGAATTGAGCATTGGGAATTAACTAGAAATCGTAAGGAGGAAGTTCTTTTGACTCGCCTCTTTGACTAGAATTGGTCACACCAGAGTGGCACATAACTACCTTTTAAAATTAAGACACAATAACACGCCGGAATTTGGATTGGAACGATCCTAATTCCAATCCAAATTGGTTGGACTGCATGATCATGGTTCACATGTCAATATAACCAGCTATTGAGGCGTTGTCTGGTGGAGGTTGAAAGCCCACTGGTCTTCCAAGGAACCGTCCGGTGTCTTCGTCTGCCTGGTTCCTGATAGGGGTGCCGTCGACATAGAAGGTGGTCGATCGAGCACCAATCGGTTGAGCTCCTGAGAGGTGGAGGGTGTAGCACTTTGCAGTGTTGAAGGAAAGGGAAAGTTTTCTTGCCAGCGATGTCAGGTGGTCAATGTGCGACTGAAGCTCCAAAGGTGTGGGTGCCAACAGGAGGATGTCGTCGGCGTACGCAAGAACCCGGTGTTCTGGGTGGGATGACTGTACTTGCCGAATGACCGAGTCAATTGCAATGTTAAAAAGTATTCCGCTGAGTGGGCAGCCTTGTCGGACACCTCTTGTGATCGGAATAGGATCAGTTGTACCGTCAAGGCACAAGAACTGCGTGGTGGCATCAGTGTACAGAGAACGGATAATCCGGAGGATGGAGGTACCCGCGCCAAGGGTCAAGAAAGCACGGAATATTGCGTCGTGGGGTATTAATCCAAATGCATTGGAACAGTCCAAGGAGGCAATGCACAAGTCTTTTTTTGTTCCTGCGTGCATGGCGGAGTCTCTGTTCCAGGAGGAAGTTGTGTTCAAATACCCCATCGTACGGGAGGACTCGTTCTCTATCAACTAGTTGGTCAAGCGTTTTACCACACATCCCGCAAAGAGTTTGGCGATTGTGGTGCCGAGAGAGTTAGGCCTCCAGTTGTTTAGATCAGTTGGCTCACCTTTCTTGTAAAGCAGGATAGACGTGGAGCGTATCCATGAGTCCGGAACCCTCCCAGCTTTGAGGCACGTGTTAAAGATAGGTGTGAGGATGCTGCATTCCGGGTCGAGTGATCTCCAGTGCTTGTACGTGAGCCGGTTCGGCCCTGGTGCGGTGCTCTTACAGGCATGAAGGCGGGCAGAGATCTTGGTGGAGGAGAAAGGTGCCATGTCGACTTCAGGGCGGTCAGTGTCCAGTGGTACGAAGAGGTCGGGGTCAACTGTAGGCGGGCAGTAAGGAGGTGCAGAGAAGTCTTCAATGGATTGACTGTCAAGCTCACATCTGGGGGGATTCACCATCTGTGATGAGACACACTGCTCTACGACGATTCCGGCGGTACAACCTTTGTAGACTTTTATGGTCGTTAGCATTGGAATTCGCAGTGGTTCGGGTGGCAATGCGTGGTGGCAGCTTGATGATGCGTTGCGCCTCTCCGATCATCTCTTCAACGGTGTCTTCAAAGCGTCTCCAGTTCCTGATGGGGTCACCGTTCACGAGTTTGATTAACGCAGGGCGGAAGACAGCAAGTGGAGACTCAGTGTCAATGTCGCTTTCAGGACAAGACAGTAAAAAGTGCAGGGGGCACCACGACATCGTCATAGACAAAAATGGTATTGCCCCACTGCACTAACCTTTTTTGGGATTTATTAAGACAAAAGATTACAAGTCATTACATTACACAGTTGACATAATAAATTACATTAATGTAAAAAGTTATTTACACAGGAAGAACAATTATAAAGATAAACTGGGGTACAGGTAATCGAGGTACAGATATATTGGTATACAGGAATCAATATGGAGATAACATGTTACAATTAATTAGGTGTTGCAGTTTGACATTTGTTGGTGTGCTTGGAGGAATGCCTCAGCATATGGGAAGATGGATGTGATGTGAGTTATAATGCTATGTTATTTTTGTGTTGGTGGTATCATTGTGTGATTGTGCACAGATTTTCCAGAGTTTACTTTGCACAGAGTTCAATGTGCACAGAATTGTGCGCAGCAGCATGGAGAGCACTTTGTATAATGGGCATCAGATAATAGTGTAAAGTTCAAAGTACTGCGCTTTGGTAGTTTCAAGGCACTGGTAGTTGATAATTATCACTCACATAAATAGTGATGACTTAGGATAGGAGCACTCCCTGTTGAATATCATATTTGAATCATATGAGTACCTTAGATTGTTTCCATGGAAAGTTAAATGGTGAAGCTGCAGATTAGATGTTCTTCAGTGGAAGTGAGCAAACAGTCATGATTCTTTGGACAGCTGTGTGGTGGCACTTCGATTGCTAAGTATTCATCATTACGCCCGTTTTGTTATTTATGAGTGGCATAGTTCTCTACCTTGTTGTTGTAGCTTGTCTATTATTAGTTTAATGTTTTTGTAAGTGTGTTGATGGTTGATTAGGAATCTTTTTAATTCCATTCCCACTTGAGTAGGTATTAAGGTATTAAGTATGGACGCAGTCCGACCCCCCTGTCAATCTTAGTGATTGACTCTATGGTCATAGGACTACGCCCAATTCAAAACCACAAACGAAGACACCCAGAGACCTAAGCTCCCAAATGACACCCCATGTTCCGCGAGACCAAGGCCCTCAGCCCCGAGTAACAAAAAAGGTTAGAATAAAGCAAAGAAAAGAAATCAAAAGGAAACAGGCAGATCTTTACAGCAGTATAAACATCATAATACATAAACAAAATAAACATCAAAAAGACAGAACATGACTTATTTAGATCTGCCTCAAGGACGACACAAAAGGAAAGAAAAGAAGAACAAAAATAACTAACTAAATAAAATACATGTTAGAAACAAAAATAAACATAAGGAAATGGACAATACCACATATAACACATAAAATCGAAAAAACACCACCAGGAATATTGCTTTAAAACAAACAATTAATTAATCTCAACACCCACCGCTCGCCGCTCACTATTAATAATTTTCATGATCTCCTTGCAACCTCTTACAAAATCATTATAATTTTCAAAAGGATCATCACCAATGATATATCTGTTAACAATGTGTGAAGTAAGTATACAGTTGCTGAGGAAGTGCCGAGCATCGCCCAGCGTGCCACATGTCGCGCACAAACCATTTGTCTGTAATTTAAATCTCGACAGATAGGCAGGGAAACGACCATGCCCCGTTAAGAATTGGTTCACATCTATATTGTTAATGGGAAGTAATAATTTATGTTTTATAGGATCCAAATTTTTAAGATAATAATTTCTTTTTTCCGAATGTATCCATTTATTGTACCATTTATTATAATAATATCTTTTTATTACGTTACAAGTAATTCTAATAGAACTAGGGAGACTGGCGTTTCCCAGCCCATCTCCCGATGGAGCTTCCTTGGCGAGGACGTCAGCCCTCTCATTTCCAAAAATCCCCACGTGTGCTTTGACCCAACCAAAAATGATATTGTATTTAGGTTTCAGCATACAAAATAAATCTTTAATAGAATATACCAAATCATTTGTACTCTTAAACGATTTTAAAGCCTTCAAGGAGGACATAGAATCTGAGAAAATAAATATATTACAAAAATCCAAATTACAATTTTTTAACCACTTTAAAGCATAGAATAATGCAATGACCTCAGCCTGAAACACGGAGTTGAAGCTTTCGAGAGTATATTTCTCCAAATGAATCTCCGTTCCATAGTATAAAACAGTAAAGGCTGAGCCCACGCCACCATTCATGCTCAAACCGTCTGTGTAGATCTCACATTCTCTAACTTCTGAAAAGAAATAAATATATGGAATAATAATACGTTCTGAAGGATGTAAAAAATAATAGTTAAATTTATGAAAAGCAGTAGAAAAAACCGGAATATCGTTGTAAGTAATAACATCATTTGTTCCCAAACGCAAGCCCGTTTTATCATAGAAATATTTATAATATATAGAGAGGGGTGGGATCCCCGCCAAGGCGCAGAGCACCTCCCCAGAAACGGTACGAAAACATCTTGTGATAGTTACCAGCCATCCGCGCTGAACAGAATCCATTTTATTTCTCAAGCGGACCAGCTCCCCGGCCCTGGAGCCCCAAGCTGCGATTCCATACATGGCAATTGGAATGAAAACGTTAAAATAGAGTGATTTTAAAATATCATTTCTAAAACATAAGTCAATACCAGAGAATTTATTACGATAAAATTTAAGGATAAAATCGCATTTTTTATGTACATTATTAAAATGATGGATGAAATTCAATTTGGAGTCGATCAAGACACCCAAATAATAAATGGAATCCGAAGGTTTTAAAATATTGTCATATAACCTTAATTTAGGAGGTCGGACGGCATGGCCACCTTTTGGAAAGAACAAAAAATTGGTTTTATCAATATTGATAGTCATTTTTTCGTTGGTACACCAAATATTCAAAACTCGCACAAAACAGTTAAATTTTCTCTCCAGCTTTTCCAGCGAATCAGCATTAATTAAAAGTAACAAGTCATCAGCATATGCCACAACATCTATCCCCTCCCCAAATTCATTGCTTATCAAATCATGCATAATAAGGCTCCAGAACAGAGGAGCACTGTTGGACCCTTGAGGACAACCTCTAAAGACCGGTTTCTGAATAGATATTTTCCCAGACCTTGATTGGAACACAATTGATCTATCATGAAAATAATTCAAAATAATTGCAAACAAATTATAAGGAATCTTTAACTGTAACAAATGATGTAATAATGAAGGCCAAAATATGGCATCGAAGGCCCCAGAGACATCAAACGAGACAACTACAATATGTTTTGATTTTCGAAATAAATGTATAAATTCTATGACCTTAAATAAAGCTCCCTCAGAAGATTTCTGTCAGAAGATTTCTGAGGGACGAAACCAAATTGTTTTTTAGAAATAAAATCGTTCTTAAACATAAAGTGAAAAATTCTATTAGAAATCAATTTATCGAGAACTTTTCCAAAAGTTTTCTACATGCAAATAGGTCGAAATTTACCAGGATTCTTTTTAGGAATGAGAACTAACCGACCCACTTTCCAGGTCGTCGGAAAAAGACCAAAACTTAAAAATTTATTATAAAGAATACAAAAAAACTTAGGATATAATTGAAGTAAAATTTTAATAAACTTTGCAGAAATCCCATCGAGTCCTGGAGCACTTCGAGCCCGAAGACTTCCGATTGTTGTACAAATTTCATTGAATGTAAACTCAGGATCATTAAACAAAGATAAATCAAAATCTGAGAGATCGCCCAACTCAGCGTCCTCTGGATCTCCCAAGCAAATGTTATCATTAAGAATTTTAGAATAGTGTTCATGTAAGTCAATATCATTATACATCTGAGCGTTATTAGTATCAATTTGTTTCTTTGCTTGTCTGAAGGGATAATCATAATAATTTTTGGCCATTTAAAAATAAATTTACCTTAAATTGACGTTTAGTTTTCTTAATTTCCGATATTGTGCCAAACTCTTTTTATACGCAATTTTCCTTTTAAGGCGGATATCATCCGATATGGAAGATATACCTGAGATGAGGACCTCAAGGCTCGCACCTTCCTACGAAAGGCGGTCAAAGAGTCATTCCACCAACTGTTTTTCATAAGAACCCTTATTTGCACATTAATTTGTTTTTCATTTCAAAAATCAAAAAATCCTCAATATTTTGTATTAGAGAATCAAGAACATCTCGTTCCTGTGCATCACTTAATAGTAAACAAAAATGTTGAATCTTCAATTTAATAGATCTACAAAATTTCTGTAGTTTATACACATTATTAGTAAAAGAAACACAAATATCTTCATCACAATTTTGAGAATTTAAATTAACTGAAACATATCTATGGTCGGAATGACTTTCCTCTTTATCCAGAATATTAATGTTAACTTCTCGACAGCCGATCGAGGAGGACGCAAGAAAGAGATCGGTCCACCCGACCCCGACCGAGGAAACAAAAGTAGGAATAGAAAAAGAATCATTCAAAATAACAAGATCATTAGCATTTATAAAATCATTGCATATGAACCCCTAGCATCAATAGAATCTGCCCCCCCAGTTAAAATGTCGAGAATTAAAGTCACCGAAAATAAGATACCTGTTAAACTTAGATAATACCTGTTCTAAATTATAAAGATGCATATTCAAGTCCTCGGACGGAGAGAAGTACACCGATATCAAACCAAGAGGTCCATCATCACAAAAAACCCGAATAGCCACGATGCAATCAGAAACAAAAACTGTTATATAATCAATACTCTTATTGAGTATGTAAATAGCACTGCGTCCATTAATTTGATGAATAACACCCCAATGTCCAGGGACATCAGCGGGAGATCCTCTTACACTATATGGCTCTTGTATAGTAATTAAATCAATATTCATGGACAAA